CCAAAATTTTGTAAACCTTCGAGTCAAAATCCCAGTAAGTTAATAAAAAAAAAAAAAAAAAAAAAAAAAAAAAAAAAACGTAGGAAAACAAAAGAATAACAAGCTACTGTCCTGAAATAGTTGAAAAGGACTGAATGCCAAGAGCAAATTCCTAAAATGATCGAGCATGTGGGGGTGTAAAGGTCAAGGTTTGAGGTGCAGAGTTCAGTGCGGCCATTATCAATAAAGACCTCCTGCTAGTGAGCAGCTCCTTGCACAAATAATTAACAAGCTTTTCAGTTCATTCGAGGATTTGTGCATCAGAGCATCTCGGAGCACTTTTTTCTGATTCGTTCAATGTACAGAGAGTAAGCATCTGTGAGCTGCAGCTCATACCGGGAGAATCATTTAAAGAGCAAAGACCTACCATTTCATCTACAGTCAAATAAACGTCTCCTTAAAACGTGGAGCTTAAGTGGATGGATCACACACAGGTCTGAATGCTTACACTGTTGCTAAAAATGAGTTTTCCCCTCGTTTAGTTGGGATGCGACCGTGGGTGAGGGGTGGGAACGTCCAGGGTGGGCACACAGACGGCAAGCAAGTTGTCTTTGACTTGCTTCAGTTAAAAGGCCTCATGGGTGAGATTGCGAGAGAGAGAGAAAAAAAAAAGTAGAAAAGAGAGGGAGAGAGCTGTCACTTTAAGCCATTAAGTCTCGCTATAAAACTCCTCCAATAAAAATGACAGCTGCAGCCCCCTTTTATTCCTCAAAAGGGGAGCAAAAGCTTCACATTGGGAACACAAAACTGGACGGCCGTAAAAGACAAACTTGGCCAAATGCTTTTGGCAGAGTAATTTTACCTCACACACACACACACACACACACACACACACACACACACACACACACACACACACACACATACGCACACACACACCTACCTCCCGGCTGACACACAACCTCTCCCTGTATTACCTTTGTTCCTGAGTTATTGCCAGAGCAGGAATGCAGACCATCGCCCCCCCCCCTCCTTCTCCAGACGCACACAGCCGTGAATCCCACTTTCCCATTAAAGACCATGAACTTCATTGATTTTGGAAATGAGGGCTGGCTAGTTTATATGACTTAGGTAAGTTCACGTGAACATAAAACGCGCTGCGCTTCATAAAATGAAAAGAAATGAACACAGCTATTGCAGGTGAAAAAAAAACATCAAGCCCTTCCTTAATAGGACTGAGGACTATTAAAAGCAGGTTTTTACATTCTTCTGAAGCAACGGCAGAGAATTAAATTCAGTGCATTGAAGTGGCCAGATAAGAAAAAAAGCAAATGTGTTGCAATTATTTTTTATAGATGAGAAAATCATTTTTAATGTTTTTTAAAAAAAAAAAAAAAAAGATCTTGCTCATCTGATGTGCAGGCAGTTTTTTTTTTAAATATGTAATGACAAGCTGCAAATGTCCGAGCATTTGTAAATTAAATTAATTTTGCTGAGTTTTACAGGAAAGCGAGTACCACAGGAGAGCAAACACACATTTTTCACTAGCAGGTATTTTGAATGGTGGGTTTACGTCTTTTAAATACATGCCAATCTTTTGAAGTTGCCAACAAGGAAACTCTAAATTGAGCCCACTAACTCTGACCAGTGTATATGTGAAAGCCCACAACATGATGCTGCAACCAGCATGGTCAGTGGCTTTTGTTTTTGCAATTTCCCATAAAGACCAGTTGCTCTGTCCATGTCAGACAGACTAACGCTTCCTTTCAAATGAACTGTGGATCTCAGCAGCTCTTCTGGAGCCTCCACGGGCCTCTTGGCTGCATTTGTGATACTTGTTCTCCTTCTGTGGCCTGTAAGTCCGAATTTGTTCCACTGGATTTTATTCAAGTGTACCAGAGAGGAGAGGACTACATATAAATGCAGGGAAAATGTAAAGATTTCTTTTCATAAAAGATGTTTATGTGACAAAAGTGATTCAAGGAGTGTGAATACTTTTGCAAGGCAGTTGAACTCTGCTGTGCTCAACAGCTCTCTTTGTCTCTCAGACTATTTGTTTCTTTCCTGACAGACTGTCATCACCATCATCCTCCGATTTGCTTTGACTAAAGGACACATTCTCCTTTCAATGTCACCCCTCCTCTCTTTGTAGTTTAAAATCACATGTGTGGAGTAGTTTGGATCAGGCAACACAGCACATAATACTGAGCATCCGCTGCCAAGGCAGGGTGCTGTCAGCCAACAACCAATCTATAATTGTAAAACGTGTCCGCTGTCGTTTCAGTCGGATGCATGTCAGAATTTCAAATGCAGCACAACTTTGGATAATTACGTCAAGCAAGTGGATAATCAATAGAGTCAAGGTCTTTGAGGATCGGGGTGTCCTTGAAGAGGCCAATTAAACAACTGCAGCTCAAGTGGTCCCTTTAATGGAGAAATCCAAGAGATGAATGATGATTTAAAGAGGAGAAGAATCACAATATAAAAGCTGCTGATGAAGCAGAGAAAGATTAGGTCCAACTCGGATGGAAAAGAGCTGAAATTTGCACCGATCCCTTCAGTGTCAGGTAAGGCTTTTTCTGTCAGTTGGGCAAGTTTGGCTGCACGTTCAGACAGTCTGAAACTTGAATCAGCACCAGCGTGGACACACAATACAGCGCACCTGGAATAACAGTCTGTCAGTGTGTGCGACGCTAGCGGTTCAGCGTGTTTCTGGGAAGCCGCAGAGAGGGGTGCTGGGGCAACACCGTCAGCAAGCAGAGGCTGTAACTGAAGAAAGCCGTGGCCGGAGCCTGTTTGCTCCCTGCGAATGCAGCCTCCCCCTCTGGTGCAAAGGGAACAGGCAGCTGATGAAATGCGTGGAGGTGTAACTCGACGCCCTTATGAGAAAGCAACAGACACAATAACAGAGGGGGGCTCACCTGCAGCTCTGGGCTCAGGTTTGCCACAGAGGGACAAGGGTCCGCTCTGTTTACTTTGACTAACTTACAGTGGAGCTGGGCATTAATGATTCACAGTGCCGTGTGCTTGTGTTCGCTCAAGCAGCAAACTCAAACAACCAATTAGTACAAATTAGAACCGATCTCAGACTATTGCATTTACATTTTGAACTGCCTCCGTCCAATTCTTAGGATGTTCTGCAGCTGCTTAAAGCTTTTAGCTTAGTTACACCTGATATCTCTGCACTGGCACGTTGTTCGGTAAAGAATTCGATTTAAGATTTTAGTCTGGATTGTTGAGGCTTAAGGGCCCTTATACATTTCTAAACATCTGCATCCCCCCAACAGGACCCTGAGTTTGCTAGAGGCTAAAATGGTTGTGTTATGCAATTGCCAGAATTATTTTCTACCTAATCATTAGATTAATCAAAACTAAAAACTCCTGTATTTCTTTTTGTCTAAAAATATGCAACAAGCATAAATGCAAGGAATGCAACAGCAATTACTTTGATGCATTGCTTTTTAAACCATTTGCAATCATATAAATGTCAGGGATTGACCAGCAGAAGCTCCAGCACAATTAAACTTAATTCAAACTTTTTCTCGTTGAGTGTAATTTTATCGATGTGAAGAATCATAAAAGTTACATGCAACAAATACATGCGTCAGAATCTAAGAAAGGAAAATTGTATATACATATGAAAAAACTTTTAAGATCTGAGTAATAAAGCACCTACAACGGCGAAAAAAAAAAAAAAAACATCTTGCACAATGATCCATGCAAAGATTAACTGCACAATTCCCATCCATAAAAGCCGTCCAAATTTAAACTATTGAGCAATGTGCAGAGGTCATTTTCGTGCAGCTGATCTGAGAATGGGTCTATCTTTATCTGATCTCAAACTCTACTTTAAGTTGGAAAAAAAAAATCGCCTTTACATTGCATTTAAACGCAACAACCGAAACCCTCCGAAGCAGTATTTCCATCTAAATATGCCCTAATCATTAAGATCTAAGAAATATTCAGCGGTCCGTTCAAGTTAGAGCTTCCTTTTCTGCAGCAAAGTCTTAAATTGGTTGTGTCCAACAAGCTATAGCGCAGGAAACGAGGGAATATCTGCAGAAATGGTTGCAAATACAGCTGATGCATTGTGTCAACAGTTAGTTCGAAAGTTTAAAGTTGAACCAAGTCGATTTTGATGCGGCGCACGCGACCTCTGCGCGCAGCGAACCTCGAGCGCAGTCAGTCCGTATCAAAGTAAAATGTCATCAACTCACACAGCAGCTAAGTAGTCAGCGAGTCGGAAATGTGTTTGTTTTAGCTAAAAACCTGCGGATTACGATGTTGTTTTTGTGCGAATTAAATGCGGCTCGCGCGTTTGGCAACTCGCTCCACGCGCTGTCAAAAAAAAAAAAAAGGAAGAGAAAAGGGGGCAGCGCGCGAGGACACGTTTCGCGAGAAACCTCAGAGAAGGGCAGTTATAAAAACCAAACACCTCGCTCATAACACAGTGAGGCGAACTTACCCAATGACAGGAACGGTTTGGTTTCCATGTCGGACTCGGAGGTTAGCTCATGCCAGCTGAGACGACCGCGTTTCGGGGAGTTTTCTCACAGGCGGCTGCTGGAGCAAAGCGAACCGGACCTGGGCGCTGCTGCTCCGGCTTGCTGCTGCTGCTGCTGCTGCTGCGGCTCCTGTGGCTGCTGGGGGACCTCTCGGAGGAGAGCGGACTTGACTCTGAGCGGTAAAAGTGACAGCGTGGTGTCTGATGATAATATCTGGAGATAACCTAATGTTTCTGCCTCTGTTTGCACACTCAGCTGCTGCTCTCGCTCTCTCTCTCTCTCTCTCTCTCTCTCTCTCTCTCGGTTGTACAACAACTCCAACTACTGGAACAGCGCAGCAGAAAGGGACCTGTGCAGGGGGTACTCACACCAACGCACCCCGCACTGCAGCGACGCAGGCGGATAGACATGAAAGGCTCGTTGCGAAGTTTGGAGTCAACATGGAAGACAAGGAGCGCATCGCGTACCGTTTTCTACATCAGCCCCTTCAGCTCTGCAGCAGCTACTCTTGTTCTGGTCACCTGTGTTGAATCAGACACAACTGTTCAACTTATGTCTCACACAACTGCCAGAATCCGAAGTGAATCCACATCTGCTCACGAGTGTTTTATTCGCTTTGATTAAGAATAATAATAAAAAAAACATACATGTTCTACATTTATGCCTCTTTTAACACTGTGTCGCATTACAGCCAACTCTAAAATGTATTTTCAAGTGGATTTCAAGAGGATTTTAATATTTAAAATAGTGCAGAATTGTCAGGGCAACTGAAAATTTGCAAAAAGTGCATATTGTGCATTTCTGCTCACCCTTACTGTAGATCCTTAAAATGAAATTCGTTGCAACAAATTTCTTCAGCACTTTGCAGAACCATATTTTGCTGCAAGCTCTTCACTTCTAAAGACAGAAACGTTTGAAAGTTCTTTGTTTTACAGCACAGCTAAAGTTCAGTCAAATGGAATAGTGTCTGAACAGATTCCTGGTTGGAATAAATGAATGAATTCAGACCTAATTTCATTCATTTAGGTCTGAATGAATTTGCTTCGTTCATCTGCATCACATTGTAGCTCTGGCTTTATGTTACGGGTTGTCGGCTCCCTGGAAGCATTTTTATAGCATCATTCTGTCCAACCTACAGTGTGTTTCATTCTGGAGATGGTGCATTCTGGATGATGTGAACTGTTAGCTCTCCAACAACAGTTGTCCTGAGCTCCAGATCCCTGCAGGACCTCCAGATATCATGGGCTGTCTGAAGGCAGTCAGCTGAAGTGGAATCAAAGGCATCAGACTAAAAGTGCATGAGTGCAAGTCACACTTTTCTGATTTTTATTTGTATAATAAAAATAATACCATGTTCTTGATTTATTTATTATATAAAATCATAATAAGACCCACTGTTAAGTGTGTTTTACCCTGTTGCTACAATAATTTAAAATGAGAAAGAGTTTGTCCTGATCCCTATTCGCAGATTTACTCTAGGCAGTTTTACTGCATCACTAAAAATGTTTTAACAATCATTAGATTATGCTATCTTTTGACATTTTAAAAATCCGCCCAATTGTTATTGCTCTGACCGAGCTTTATCTTCTGTGCTCATTTTGCTTGCTACTAAACTTGCAGAGCTGCATCTCTCACTCCTTTCTTTACTGGACTCCTATTTTTGTTTTCCACATGTATTGTTTTGCCTCCGTGGAAATAAAATATTCCAGTTTTCAATACTTTCTTTTGCTGATTTTATCCTGGTCTGGTTTATAAAGCAATGAGACTGTCTTTAAGGGTTTTTGGGGCCATTACTAATTCATAGAGCTGAGGTTTCTTCAGTTGGGCGGTTTTGTTCTGAAGTTACTCACTCTCAGTTTGAGGTATTAGGAGGAGCAAAGCAATAACAGAATATGACTCAAATAATTTCCAAGAAAAATAGGTAGTCTGTTTTAAACATAATTCTGTGAGTGAATTGCTAACTTTGGCATGTTAGCACACTTGTCTGCCAGTGTGCATTGTCCCTGTCAAATTATAAAAGCAAAGTAAAGGTTTGCTGACATTTCAAAGGGTTATAAAAGTCTCTGTAACATTTCTGAGACTGAGGAAATGTCTCAGAAATGACAGGGCCTTTTTTCTCACTTGAGTTTCTTTAGATAAGAACACGATGTGTTGATTTGAGATCATTTAGCCGACTTTAGGACATCAGGATGGTCGTATGCAAGTGACTTTTTTTGTTTGGTTTGGTTTCATTCTGCGTTTTATTCTGGGTTAACCAGCAGGCCTGCATGTGGCTGGTGAAATGTGATTTACAAATGTGGTTATCAGCGTTATATTCTCATAGAGGGCCACGTTACTTTGGGTAAGATTTTTACCCTGATAAAAACTTTTTTTTGACATTTTTTATAATCTTAAGTATTAACATGTGACAAAATAGCAAAAAGGGGCAAAACCTTTGTCACGGCCATGCATCTGTTCATAAATGTAAGTTGTTTATCCTTCAGTACCTTTCACAGCATTAGACCGATGTGCAGTCTTGATGTTTCTCGTCATTGTTTTTTGTTTTTGCTGGACATGTGTAATCGATTGGGATCAAGTCACGTCCCTTTTGCATTCCTTGCACTTCCACACCCGATTCTGGCCACATAAACTAGATGAAAGCAGAACATTCTTTGTTCTCACAAAAAGACTTCACATAGAAGTTCTGCAGGCGATGTAAATGCCTGCTGCAGCCAGCCACTAGGCCCCTGCTGTGATCTTGCTTTAGCTAAGAACTCAAAGGTGTTCCCAGCATATACTGAGTTATGATGCATAATTAATGCAATGCATGACACATCTGAGATCAAAGGCAGTTGAGGAAAAATAGAGCAAAATGAAGTCTAATGATTCAAAAGGTATCGGAATAAAATGTGTTTGTCGAGAGTTGCAGATGAGCGAAGAAAACACAATTTGTTCTTCGAGTGCCTCTTTCTTGGTTTTTGTTAAGACGTCTTAGATCTCTCTTCTCCAACACGTAGATCATCTTTTCACGATGATCCGTTAGATTTATCTGTATTGTGTGCTAACTTCATATGACTTTTTTTGTCCTGAGCCCTTTTCATAATGCAAGGCAGACGCAACACGGTTCTTTTAAACACCTCAATCTGGACAGGTTCTCTCATCTTTCCGCTGGATCGAGCTATTTAATCCTCGACTCAAGCCATGATGAATAGCAGTCTGACCCTTCACCTTCATCCACATAAATTCTCTTGAGGGTGTATTAGCGCTCTTCAGTCCCTAACATTTTAGGGGCTTTCAAAGGCCCTGAGTCTACACTTACCTCTGAATCACAATATCTCTTGGCTCAGTTATGTCTTTTGTTTCTCAACTTTATGCAGCGTGTTGGGGCCTCAGGGGATGAGAGACCCCCACTGCTATGCTACGCTTTGCTGTGGTTGCTTTGACAGCTCTCCTCTTCTCCCCTTTTTCCCCTCTCTTAAAATGGGTGATAAATGGGACAAGGGCCTTTTGGTGTCCTTTGTGCCTAAACCATTCACAAGGAGCTCATCCGTAAAAGTTATCATGGCTTTGACAGTTATTCATTGGCTTCGACAATGGTTTTCAAAATTCAGGTAGGACTATCTTTTGAATAAATCATTAAGTCTTTTAAAGGGTGCACAGTTTCAGAAATGAAACTCTGCTTAATGTGGCCGCTTCTAAAACCATCGGAGCAATTAATTACTTAATACCTCAAAATCCTCTGAATTTCTTATGAAATTTCATCTAAATTTGGCGAGAAAGTTGGGCATTGAAAAATATGGTCAGCATTAAGGAGTACCAAAAGCATTCTGACATCATTAGGTCATTTGCATTGTCCACCCCTAAGGAAGGTCCCAATCATCACATCCCGAGTTCACATTCCTTGACCCCCAGGGTCAGGGCTTTGTCTTGGGATAGCAGTGAGGCAACTTCCCCTGCGGAAATCAACACGAGCTGACACAGTAAATGCTGGAGACGAGCACAGAGGCAGGAAAGAGGAGCACCATGCGTGTAACAAACAGCTTCCCAAGCAGCCCTGTTGCTTCTAATAACACCACGAGGACATGCTAACCTATCGAATAGTTAGTTGTGGATTTATGAATTTCTGCTTTCATGCTCAGAGTTAGAGCTGTTACATTTTTCTAAGTTTTGTAAAGAAGAACCTCTGCCACTCAAACTGCTGTCATTGGAAAATTAGTTTGTGGAATCACTGGAGGGCACAAAGGTATGCTGAGATACCTTGACCAATGCAATACAGAGGACTGTCTTTATTGGTATTCACGAGGGTTAAGGATCCCAGCAGTCCTCCAGAATAGATAAAATCTGAATACTTGAAGTATTCAAGTTGTGGTAACATCTGCAGTCTTCCTTCCCTCAGCTCTTGGTTGTCCAGCCAGTCAGCAGTAGAGAAAAAAGAATGACACTGCTGGATTGGCTGCTTTGCAATAGTTTGTCCAGTATCACTCCACCTAAGCTTCCCAAGCTGCATCCTCTTGAATATTATTAATGTTAACCTACAATGTGAGTAAATGTAGCTTAATACAAAACAAAAGCAGAAGTAAATGTCCATTGCCATCACAGAATTTCAAACTTTGTCATATACTATTTGTCAGTGTCTTTAAAAAAATGTGTTGAGTATGTCCAAACATAAAAAAATCTTGTGAAACATCACGTCTTGTCAGGTACATCTAATTGTGTTTCCACATCAGGTACTTTCCTCGTGTTGCCATCTATTTTATTTCTCTTGCAGCAAACAGCCACCACAATGCTTTACAGTTGGGATGGTGTTCCCAACTGCACCAGTGTCTGTCTTTTTAAATGTAGCAACAGTCATTGTGTCCAAACAGTTGTACTTCAGTTTCATCATCTTTGCTCCTGTATGCGTCTGCAAACTGCAATCTGGTTTCTTATGTTTCTTTTGGAGTGTTTGCTTCCTCCTTGCTGAGGGGTCTTTCAGCCCACCTTGGTATTGGACACGTTTTACTGTAAATAATGAAAGAGTCTTACGTGCTCTAGCCAGCATCTTCACAAGGTCTCTGGATT